GTTGGCAATATGGTTCTGGCAATATTGGAAAGGAATGCACTGATTTGTGGCCAAGGATTGCAAGTGCAGCTAATGGTATAGTATAAGAATTTGCTACTTTCGTGCCCCATTCGTTTGGGAGGTATATTGTTAGTCTTATTCCTTGAGAGTGTAGGATGTTCTCTTTTGAACTTGAACAAATTTTGTTTGTGGATTATGCATTTGGTTAATGAGATGAAATTTATGTAGGAAATGTTTTTTTTAAAAAAAAAGAGAAATGTAAGAGAAGGACAAAAGGCTTGTAAATGAATATATAATTCATTAATCTTCTTCCTTTTGAAAAATTTTTAAGTTTGTATTTTTATTATTGTTTGATGGGTTTGTGGTTTTCAAAAGTTCATGGAACCTGGGTTTCAAAGAAGGAATTGAAGTACAAAGATTTAGTTTGGGGACTTGAAGAAAGAGGTTGTTAGGCAACCATAAATGGAGGTTAGAAAGGTCAATTTCATTAAAATCCACGTCAGATTTAGTTATGAAATTTTTTTTGTCTGAATCAGCTGCCACGTGTTAAAAATTTGGTCCCGCAATTACATAATCACGATTTCGATTAGCCAACTAAGCCGAAGACACCTAATTGTAAATTTTAAAAATTCGTACACTTAATAAATAGCGTTTTCCGTTCAGTCACACAAATGGAAAACAGTAAATTCAACCACTAAAATATAATTATCCCTTTTTATTGCCACGAATACAGTCAGATATTAAACCGGGTCTGCTTCGCCCTGAATCCGCCACACCCCATGGGCCAGAAACTTTTGCCCCTTTTTATTGCCACGAATACAGTCAGATATTAAACCGGGTCTGCTTCGCCCTGAATCCGCCACACCCCATGGGCCAGAAACTTTTGCCCCTTTTTATTGCCACGAATACAGTCAGATATTAAACCGGGTCTGCTTCGCCCTGAATCCGCCACACCCCATGGGCCAGAAACTTTTGCCCCTTTTTATTGCCACGAATACAGTCAGATAAATCTGCCACACGCCCATGGGCCAGAAACTTTTGCCATAGCTGCCAGCTCAGCATTGTGCAACGGACAGAGCAGATTCATTCTTTCTTCCCCTAAAAAACTTTTGTGACTTTCGCACGCCACGACAATTTCACCTCGGCCACCAGTTTTTCTGAGGAGACAATACCTATAAAGACAATAAACCAAATTACGTAACTGCCCTTGTACAATCTGCGCTCCTGCTGGGTAATTTTGACATTTAAGCCTCGTTGTATATTGTATGTCCCTTTCAAAAAAAAGTAAGCAACGTCCAAATCAGCGTTTTTGTGGCTGTCTACAAGTTGTTTACTGTGTTTATTAATTAATATTAAGAAATTAAAAACTCAATTATTTGTCTCCCTAACACTCGTAAATTTGATTTTCATATCATTAGTTTGAACTTAATTTAATATTAGTTTCCTATTTGCACTTATATGTATTAATTTTGAACTGAATTTAATTTTAAGCCAAAAACACTAATGCATAATTTAGTAGTAAGTGTGTATATAACTTATTTTGAAAAAAAGTGTAGATATAACTCGATAATAGATTTAAGTTTAAATTTTCTTTTCAAATACTCAAAAAAAAAAAAAAAAAAAACAAAAAAAAAAAAAACCCAATTACAATAATGTTTTTTTTGAAAAATTACGTAATTTTTTTTAGTATATTTGAAAAGACGGGGGGGGGGGGGGAAAAAAAAAAAAAAAAAAAACCAATTACATAATTTTTTTTTGAAAAAATTACGTAATTTTTTTAGTATATATTGAAAGAGGGCAAATTAAATATGTCAATGTAGTTTTATGTTTTTATTTAGTGATAAAATTATATGATTGGTTATTGCTTTCGCATTAAAAATTCTCTTTTCTGAGTTGATTTTAGGCAGATTAACAAAACTTGGAAATTCATAAATAAATAAAAATTACTTTTTAAACAAGATCAGAAGAAAAGAATAATCCATTTAGCAATAATCTTTGATAGTATATGATAACATTTCATTACAGTTAAAATACTCATGTAATAATTTCTTCAAAATACTCATGTAATAGTATATGTTAAAGAATTTCAAACACAACCTTTCAAAACAAAGCCTTTTAAAAATATTATTAAAATTTTTTAAAAATAATACTTTTTAAGTTTCAATCTTTTCTTTGTGGAAAAATTGACGAAATCAAATCTTTTTTAGTTGGGAGAAGTATCGTAATGGCAACGGGAGAAGTATCATAAAAAATCTGACATTATTTTCTTTCATGTTATAGTTTTTATTAACCTTTATTTTTGAATCTATTTTTTACTGTTAGTAACTTTGATTTCCTTTTCTTTTTAGTTAAACATGGATTTAATTTTAACAAAAATAAAAATTAAAGTGCTAAAGTGTTAACCAATAAAAATTGTGAGGTTTAAATATGCATATGCTTAGTTTATTTAATAATTTAAAATTTATTATAACGGGTGTATAAGATAATTCTTGGTAAGAATTTCTTAATTTTTAATTTTTAATTTCTTTTCGTTTTGTATGAGACAGAGAGTGAGAGTGATTTTTTTTTTTTTCCTTTTCTTTTCCTTTTGTATGAGACCGAGAGCAAGAGCGATTACCTTTTCATGTGAACTATTATTTAGATTTTGGAGGAATATATAAATTCAATTCAAGATTTTGCAATTTTAATTTTGTGGTATCTTAAATTTTATAATGATCTATTTTACATTTGTATTTATAAATTTTTATAATATTGCACACTTGTCATATTAACAATAATAATTCTTAGGATGTTTGACTTTTAAATAACAGTTTTCATATTTTAACTATTTAATATATGTTTAACGATTTAATTTTACAAGTTGAATTAATAATTAAAATAATTTTGTAAGTCGAAGTGTTTTATAAGTGTAATTTTATAAGTTGAAGTGTTTGACATATTAAAGTAAAAGCTGACGGTGCTAAAAAGTTAAACAGTAATATTCATTATATATTTTACCCTTATATTTTATATTATAGCATATTATATTAGTCAATTTTTTATTTTTAAAAATTAATTTGTTGGGCCTTATATATATATATTGTCCAATTTTATAATTTTTTTGGTTTTTCAGTTTACCAATTAAAAATAATTCAAAAAATTGAATAAAATGCAATTTTATATGTAAAATTATGTTTCTTTTTATTTCCCATAGTTAAAAAAACTAACAAATTAATTAGCACAAATACTATATAATTAGAAAAAATATATAAGGATTATTAAATTTAATTTTTGAAAATAGAAATGTTGATTAGTATAATGTTTCATGGCTAGTTAACAAAAAAAGAAATAACAGAAGAATATAACAATGAGAAATAGTTAGAATGAAATAATTATATTAAATTAATTTTAAAACATACAAATTCTGATAAATGTATTTTACATTTAGAGAAATAAATTTTGTTCCAATCCATATTTGGCAATGGATACAAGTATATTTCGTAAACATTATATAGATTCGATATATAATAAAAAAGCTATGAGGGTATTCGAGATATATATATATATATATATATATCAGCTTTTCATATACATATTATATTATAATATTATTAAATATTAAATTTATAAAATATAACAGAATTCTCAGATTAAATTGTATTTTTACATTTTAGCAGAAATAATGAATTTTTGTTCACAATCGCCATATTTTGGCAATGGATACAAACAGTATATTCGGTAAACATTTTATAGATTCGATATGATAATTAAAAAAGCTATGGAGGGTATTCGAGGATAGTATTAGTATATTATATATTATACGTCAGCTTTATCAGTAGGTATGGGGGGTATCTATAATGTATGAATATATAAAAAAATAATTTTGTAAAAAACTTGTAATATAGACAGTTAATATGACACTATGTAGATTGTTTGAGAAGCATATAATATATAAAAATAATTAAACTTTAAATAGACAGTTTATATGAACTAGTATGTTGAAAATAATATAAATGACATATTTCATATTTAAATTGTTATTTTAAAGGGAGAAACAAATATATCATTTTTTTTTCAATGAGATATTATAGTGCAAGATATATAATTAAAAAAATATTTTTCTTTATATATAAAAACCACTATATATATTGCAATCTAAATAAGAATTTATACTTTAATTATATAAATAAAAAAGTTGAACGAGTATAAAAAATAAGCATATAATTAATATAGTCAACATATATCACACATTATAAAAAGAACTAAAAAGATTAAGGGAGCATTTGGTTCAACTCGTTTATGCAACTAATTATTAATTTATATCCAATAACTACTTTGTAGATATTTGATAAACTTTTTAATACTGATAGCTAATAAAATTTCTAAATAGTTGTTAATCTCATCAACAATGTGTTGAGTTTTTCTCATATTAGTTGTTAGCTTATTGAAAATTATTTTGTTTGGACTTTATAATCTTAGAAAAATGACTACTAATAAACTTTTCAAATTAATAATTTTATGGTTATTTTATTTATAATTATTTAAAAATAATAAATTTTTATTAAATACTATTAAAAATTAATTAATATTATATATAATCATACATTAGACTAAAAATAATGCATTCACTTCAAAAATAAAAAAATACGTATGCATCATTTCGTATAAAAAAACAAATATATTATTGATAGTCATTTTAATTTTTAATAATAATTGCCATTAAAACTTAACGGAACACCAATATTTATCCGTTAATCGTTATCGAGTTATCAACAACTGCATTCATTATCCAACCAAGTAAAAGTTGAGCATTATTTTTTAGTAAAAGTTAATCTAGTTACCTCTCAATTACTTGTTATGATCAATTGTGGTGCGCATATTAGTTAATCTCAATTTGCTAGGTCATCTATGTGTCATCTAATAGTAATTGTTATTATATTATTAATATTTTTTATATAAATAAAAAAACCCGAAATTGCTAGGTCCGCCTAAATCATTTGCTGTTTTATATAATTGCATACTGGAGCCAGTTACCTAACAAATATCTCTCTCTCTCTCTCTCTCTCTCCACTAGTTGGTGTGTCCTCTATTCTCCATTATCATCATTTCGTCTCTTCTCTGTTTCAACGATGTCTGCAGCCACTTCTCAGATCCACTCCCTTTCTCGACATCTACCCTAAATTCTCTCCACCGGGTATATCTGCTTCTCTTTTATGCTTTTATTTTCTCATTTTCCTTTAATCATAATGGAGATTCTTAGCTGTTTATTGCTTCAATCTTTCTCTTATTTTCATACACACACGTAAATTTTCCAATCTCCCATTTCTTTACCTGAATTGCTATGGGTTAGGCTTCAGAACTTCAGCAGTTGCTAAGTGATTGTTTTTTTCTTTCTTTTGCCTTTTATGGCTTTATCTATAATATTCTCATATATTCCGTTTAACCTCATAATGGGACGATTCTTAAGCTGTTAGTTGCTTTCAATTCTTTAACTCTTATGTTTCATTAACACACGTAGAATTTTCCGACCAAATCTCCTAATTTCTTTACCTAGTGAATTCTAGGGAGTTTAGGCTTCAGTCAACGCTTCAGCTAGTTGTCTAAGCTGACATTTCGTATTATTATTCTTTCTTTCTTTTTTTTTTTTTTCGTTTTACTGATTATTGGTTTCTAATAATAAGTATACATTTGCTGTGGGGAATTTGTTCAGAAGGCCCCAAAGGGTCAGCATGGCTGGATTGTTGGTCATCTGTATTTTTTTCCTTTGATAATATTTTGATATTTCACACGGAAATATTGTAACTGCTGGCACGCTTTTATGTTTTCCAAACAAGCCAGATGATTCTGTTATTATTCTCTTGCATAGTGGTGATTGAGTCTAGGTTGACCTCGTAAGCTTGAATTCCTTTGTGCTTTAGTGTCTATTGGTATTTTCTTTTTACCTGTGGTTGGCTTAGGCGATGATGTATTAGAGTTTGCTTTTTTAATTAGTTCTTTCTATCACCTGCTTTGTAACTCATTGACTGTTGATTGGTTTTTAACATGAGCGGGGGGGCTCGCACAAAGTCTTTAGGGAGGGTGAACTAATTGATTTACAGTTTCACACTCTGTATTTCTTTTTTTTTTTTTTTTTTTTTCTGATTTATTGGTTCTTAATATAATATACTCTGTGGGAATTTGTTCAAAGCCCAAGTCGCATGCTGGATGTGGTCATTAGTTTTTTTTCTCTGATATATTTTGTTTTCCACGAATTTGTACTGTGCCTTTTTGTTTTTCCAAACAAGCCAATGATTTTATTTCCTTGCAAGTTTGATTGAGTTAGTTGACTCGTACTTGAATTCCTTGCTTAGTGATTTCTATGGTTTTCTTTTTACCTTTGTGGTTAGCATGTATGGTTTCTTTTTATTATTCTTTCTTCCTGCTTTGACCTATTCTGTTTGGTTTAAATGGGGCGCCAAAGTTTTATGGTGATAATTGATTTACAGTTTCAGATCTATTCTTTAATATGAGTTTTGGTGGTTTTTAGTTGTGTTAAATTTATAAATAGGCTTGTAGTGTTCTGTTTAATGCATGCATTTTTCTGTTTGTTGTTGCTGTGGTTTGTTAAAACTAATATTGAATTGGCAATAAATAGTAAATTTCATTGTTATAATATCTTTATACCTGATCTTTTTGAAAGGGCATTTTTAAATCTCTGGTTTTGGTTTCCTTTATCAGATTGCGAATCTGAGTTTATTCTATGTTCATTTTTGTGATTTATCATACATGGGGTTGTGGACATTTCTGAATTAATGCAATAAATTATATAGCAATTATTTTACTGATTTATGGTCATAGTTTGATTAGGCCATATTTCAGTAGTAGCATGACTCATCATCAGAGGAGTTTTTTCCCCAATTTTGTTATAGTTTATTGCTATAGTTCATCAAATTTGTATCTGTGTTGAATCTGAGAATCATAGTCCTATTTACTTTGGAACTTTCAAGCAGTCTTCTTTGTTATTAACTCTTATTCTTTTTTAGTAATCAACAGCTTGATCTAATCTGTAGATTAACAGTTGGGCTTATTAACATCATCTTCTTGTAATTCTTTTGGAAGTTTTGATTGAAGTTTTTGTAGTTATTTGTTAGGCTGTGCCTTTTCCATGCCTGGTTGTACATGCTTGTGCAGATTTGGCAACTGTGAGCTTGTGAAATGCAATGTAATGAACTGGTGATCTTCTTTTTTGATTTGATGATGTTTTGGACCATTTTGTACTATTATTGTTTTAAAATATCATTTAGATCAATTAGCGAGATTTTTGGCAAATACAATAAGAGCTCAATCATCCACTTTGGTATCCTATTGAACAAAAATTGTGATATTGTTCCTCCTTGCTGGTTTTATATTTTGATCAATATTATTGAAGGAAAAAAAAAATCTAATTGCCTCAGAAAAAATTGATTGTTGTTACTGTTAATACATCAAAAGATCATTGAAGGGTAATTTACTTTTGTAATATATACTCCCTCCATCCCATTTTATTTGCATGGTTTGACAAAACACGCATATTAAGAATTTAATTAACAAATATTATTTTGCCCTTTTTAACCCTTAATTTACTAAGATATTAATAAAAGTCTTTTATTTAATGAACAATCATAAATGTTCCTATGGAAAAAATAATTATTTAAATATACAAATTTAAAAACTTTGCAAACATTTTGGAACATCCAAAAAAGGAATAACAAGCAAACAAAAGGGGACGGAGGGATTATTATTTTTCTCATTAGTCTGTCATAGGCTAAACAGAAAACGTTGTAATAAAAATGATTATTATTAACTTTGTATGTATATTAGTAACAATTATTTTGCCTAACATGAAACTCACACTTATTTGTAGCATTAGTGATGCTATTTTAGTACTTGTTATTTTTATGAAAGAATTTAATTTCATGATAAATTTATTTGGAAAAGGATTACCTTGTTGCTAAAAAGTAATTAATGGTCTAAATTGGTTCAAATTTTAAATGATATAAAAACAGCTACTAAACAGTGTAAAAAGCCTCCAAAGTGAAGCTTCTATTAATTAACAAGTTTTTAGGTTTCGTGAAAATCAAATGTCTCGACCTAGCTGTTGGGGGTGTCAGCCAGCCCCCAATTGCTAGAATTGGCACCCCTAATAATACCTGCTCAGTATTAATGTGAATATGTCAATTCGTAAGTTATCTGAATTTGAAAATTTGTCTTCTCTTTGTTTATATCTTTGAGCGAAAGGCCATTTTCCATTAACCATTTTTTATTTTTTTCAAAGGTTTTAACATTTTCCTCTGTCAGGTTAATGAAGCTAAAGAGTTTTGAAGGAAGGAGTTTAAGACGCTCCCAAGATTTAAGCAAATCAATTTTAACTGTTCTCATTAAAGGATTTTATCCTAGAAATGTTGTCAGATATTTCTAGGAGCTAGTGCATTTTCATTTAAATTTGTGCTGTTGGCGCTGAGGTTGGGGAGATGGACAGGTCAGACACATCTGGTTTTGTCAGTGGTGGAGTTAGTTTCTTTCGATTACATTCCTTCTGATGCCAGTAGCATGTGCTGAAAACTGTTCTGTTGGTTGGGCTCCTGTACTTTAGTTTCACGGCTTCTAGAAAATGGATCTGACTGATAAGGCTATAGAATTTTCTAATAACAGCAAATTTACTAATAATGAAAACTTTGGTGATACGACCTTAGGCCTGAACTGCCTTGGCAATGGACGAAGCAATATGACTGGATTTGAGAATACTCAAATCAGTATTAAGGTTGATTTATCCAACAATCTTGATGACAGTTGTAAGTTGGTCCTTGGATTAGGTCCCACTCCAACTGCTTATTGTGATGATTATTGCAGCATGAGGTTTAGCAAGAATAAAGGATCAACTCCTGCTGCCACATCTCCTCAGGGGTTATCATCTATTGCTGATTCAACCCTAAAACTTGGCCTTTCTGGAGGGACCAAGGAAGCTCTGAGTAACCTTGAGTGTTCACTACTGGAGACTGACAGTAACACCCCTCTTCTGAACCAAGTTGCTGGTGACCATAATAGATTCTCGATTCCTGTTGTTGATGAGGGCTCTACTTCAGCAAAGAAATCTGGAGGCTACATGCCATCACTCCTTTTGGCTCCAAGAATGGATGCTGGAAAAGTTTCATCGCATGCGGAGGAATTTCTTCAATTTGGAGCCAAATCTCGTTGTCATCAATTGCAGTTAAACCATGAACCATCTGCTACCACAGATTTTTCAGCAGCCACTGTTTCTGAGAATGAAACTAGTGCCACATCTATAGATCGCAAAACTAGTAACCCAAAGAAGTGCAAGTTCTTTGGTTGTTCAAAAGGTGCACGAGGAGCATCAGGTCTTTGTATTGGGCATGGGGGAGGACAGAGATGCCAAAAAGCAGGTTGTAACAAAGGGTCTGAAAGCCGAACTGCATATTGTAAGGCCCATGGTGGAGGAAGGAGGTGTCAACATTTGGGTTGCACTAAAAGTGCTGAGGGGAAGACAGATTTTTGCATAGCACATGGCGGTGGCAGAAGATGTGGATTTGCAGGGGGCTGCACCAAGGCTGCACGGGGCAAGTCAGGGCTTTGCATTAGGCATGGTGGGGGGAAGAGATGTAAGGTTGAAGGCTGCACTCGAAGTGCTGAAGGACAGGCTGGCTTGTGCATTTCCCATGGGGGCGGAAGACGTTGCCAATACCAAGGATGCACGAAGGGTGCTCAGGGTAGTACCATGTTTTGCAAGGCTCATGGTGGTGGCAAGCGTTGTATATTTGCAGGATGCACCAAAGGTGCAGAAGGAAGTACACCGTTGTGTAAAGGACATGGTGGGGGAAAACGTTGCCTTTATGATGGTGGTGGAATTTGTCCGAAAAGTGTTCATGGAGGCACAAATTTTTGTGTTGCACATGGTGGTGGAAAGAGGTGTGTTGTGCCAGGATGCACTAAGAGTGCACGTGGTCGCACTGATTGCTGTGTTCGGCATGGTGGAGGGAAACGGTGCAAGTTTGAAAATTGTGGGAAGAGTGCTCAAGGTAGCACAGATTTTTGCAAGGCCCATGGTGGGGGTAAGCGATGCAATTGGGGGGAGGGTAAATGTGAGAAATTTGCTAGGGGTAAGAGCGGTTTATGCGCTGCACACAGCAGCATGGTACAGGAGAGGGGGTCAAAGAAAGGTAATTTAATAGGACCAGGACTCTTCCATGGTCTTGTCTCCGCCGTGTCGAATGCGGGAAGTAGTATCAACAACAATTATTCTTCATCTGGAATTAGCGCTGTCTCTGACTGCACTGATTCTTTGGAAAAGCCAGCAAAAAGACAACATCTCATACCGGCACAGGTATTGGTTCCTTCATCCATGAAGTCGTCATCATCATACTCAAGTTTTTTGAGTGCTGAGAAGCAAGAGGAAGATAGAAATGGGTATGGCACAGGTATTGCTAGCATTGGTAGGATAACCAACTTTGATTACATGGTTCCGGAGGGGAGGGTTCATGGTGGTGGCCTCATGTCATTATTTGCTGGGAATCTGAAGAATGCAATTGATGGCGTTTGAAGCTGCTTGACTTTCAGCGGCGAATATTCAACGACGAAATTGTGCATAGAATAGCTTGTATAGTTTGTATTGGTTAGGGATTATTGTTGTACTATAATGAATGTGTTGGGGACCTGATTTTTTCAGTCAAACTTTTGGCTCGCACGACGAGTTCTCAAATTGCCACAAGCCCAACATGTATGGCTGTGAATGGCAAATTTGGATTTCCAAATCTTAGCGTAATAATTCCACTAGCTCATTATATTTTGGGCTGAGGGGACTTCACTGTTCCAATTTGACATTTTCTTAAGAGTGACAATTCGCCGTTTATTTATGTGAGAAAAAATATTGCGTTATTTCAAACTTTTATAAATACTTTTATAAGTAACTTATCATGCTCAAATGTCAAAAAAAAAAAAAAAAAAAAAAAAAAATGAAAAAAAAAAAAAAAAAAAAAAAAAAACTTATCATGCTCTAAAAGTATGTGTTTTAAAGACATTGCATATTTTTTTTTTTGCTAGCAATAATAGTTTTTTAGTGTTTTTGGCTTTTGCTTAAAATATTGATTTGATATGTTGCTATTGGAACTTTTGAAATCAATAAGTGTTTAATGGTCTGGTTTTGCAAGTCGCAGGTTTCAATAGAAAAAAATTGCTAATTGAAGTGTTTGTATTATTGTATAAATTAAAGTGTTCAATAAATCAAATTAAAAGTTGAAGGTGCATAAAAAAATATTTTTGTAGGTAAAATAAAGTGGTGAACTTTTATAAAGTAAAGGGTAAATTTAAACGGTGGCCAAAATCTAATTAAAATGGTTATCATTGTTTGCTTGGTTTATTTTTGCACTTTCTTTTGGGTTATCATCGGTGGCAAATCAAATTCTCTCTTCTAGCAACCTTGAGCATGGATCATAACATGTACTCGTATAGGTAGTGGTGGCCACGGTTCCGGAACCGGCAGTTCCGGTTCCAAAAAAACTGGAACCGGAATCGAACCGAAAAGTTTCGGTTCCGGTTTGGAACCGAACGGTTCCGGTTCCGGTCCGGTGACAAAACCGACGGTTCCGGTTTCCGGTCCGGTGACAAAACCGACGGTTGATACGGTTCCGATCGGTTTTCCGGCGAATCGCATAATTTTAAATTTTAAAATTTGAAGACCGGTTTTCAAAATTTAATAAATTTGTCAAAGTTATTTGTCAAAATATACACCTAAAAAATTAAAAAATACTTCAATTAAATTTATTTTTTTAAAGACTTGAACATAATTATAAATTCTTTTTTTTTAGGATAAATTATAAATACATTTATAAATATATATATAAGGACTTTGAATGTTAAGTAAATTTTGATGATATTTCTTTAATTATTATATTTTTCTTGAGATAATTTATGTAAATGAAATTTGTTGAGAGGTACTTTTGAACTACTTAAAAAAAAGATTTCTTAGATCGTTATAGATTAGATTCAAGGAATTTGAATCTTATGCCAATTTTAGTGATATTTCTTTAATTATTATATATTTTTAGATAATTTATATTTGTAAATAAAATTTGTTGAAAGATAACATGGAGGCTTTAATTGAAGAATGATCATTCATGGAGGCTTTAATTGAAGAATGATCATTCATTGTTGGACTAAAGAGGTAGAATTTTCCATTCATATGCACATGCAAATTATTAAAGCCAGAAAATAAGAATTTGAGGCGTAATATAAAGTTTAATAATAAGTTTATTTTTGTAGTAAAAAAAAAAAGAAAAGATAAAAAAGATAAATAAATAAATAAGTTTATTTTTGTAAATAGTCAATTCGATGCAATGAAAAAGATAAAAAAGAAAATCTACAAATTAGGAGATAAATAAATAAAAATGGTTATTGGCACTTGTCAAAAACGTGCTACAGAAACTGCATAAGTATAATAAATAAATAATAAACTGAAAAGCTGCAATGAAAGACTTTTTAGCGTGGGGTTCTAAAGTGCTGGCTTTACTTACAAAAAAAAAAAAAAAAAAAAAAAAAAAAAAAAAAATTGACAGTGTCTAACGGCTAGAAAAACCCGCCGGTTCGAACCGGCGATTTCTAACCGGCCGGAGAAACCGGCGGTTCCGAACCGGTTTTTCCTCCAGAAAATCTGGAACCGGAACCGAACCGGAAATCTCCGGTTCTGATTCCGGTTCGGCCCGATTCCGGTTACGGTTCGAGACCGGTTCAAACCGACGGTTCCGGTTCCCCGAACCGTAATTTGGCCACCCTTACATATAGGTGGATAGTACATCTATATTACTGACCGAAACAAATGGCAATAAATTAGTAATGGAAATACATCAAGAGTTCGACATTGGATTAATTATGAAACGAAAAACGATAACGCCCAATCTTTCGACATTGGATTAGAGAGAGATTTGGACACAAAATTGAAAACGATTAGGAAACAAAATTTGTCCCCTAATGATAAGGGAATTTAGGAGGGTCTATTGGATCAAGACTTTATTAGATTTTAATATATTTTGAAAATTTAAAGGTATTTAATTTAGAATTTTTTGGATTCTATTAAAATTTTGTGGTATTCAATTCAGAATTTTATAAAATTCATAAAAACCTGATTGTATTCAATTATAACTTTTTAAAAGTTCATACAAATTTAATATTATTTAAAAAGTTACTGATTTGAAAGGATTTTATAAAATTATTGATTTTGTTGGATTTTAAGGTGTTAGGTATGAATAAAAAAGTTATTCACAAATCCATCCTTCAATCCAAAAATTTCAAAAATCTTTCAAAATCTATTAGAGTCTTAATCCAATAAATCTCTTAATAAGGACGGAAACGGAGTGGGTACCCGTGAATTTTAAACGTGTCCGTTTAAATTTTACTACTTGTATCCATTTTCAACCCATTTAACTACTTATTTAAGTAATCATATTCGAACATATTTAAATTTTATTACCCGTATCTATCCAAAACTCGTTTAAAGTATCTCTTAAACGGGTAGGGTACCTGAGAATCTATTAAGGTATCCATGGATAGATTTTATTTAAAATACATTTTTTATTAATAATGGGTAGGGTACCTGTGGGTACCCATTACCGAACTTGTTTAAAATAGCGATTAACCGGCAGCGGGTATCCAAATATCATACACGTACCCTACCTGTATCCATTATGGGTAGTAATTTCACTATTCATATTGATTCCAAACCCTTTTACAACTATGTATATCCTCTTTAAACGGATCGGAGCGGAGCGGGTACCATAAAATATATGCACCACTTCCATCTCTATGCCTCAAGATGTAAAAATAATTTATTAATTATTGAATTAGTTTCGAATTAATTCATATGTTGAGAATTTGATATTTTGACAAAAATTAATATTAGTGGTGCTGCAAATTTTCAGAATTAATTTGATTTTTTTTTTGAAATTTTTATGCATTGATTTCAATTAAATAATGATTTAATCAAATAAAAAAAAATTGAAAAAGCTTTGAAATAGTTAAAGAACTGAAGAATGCACCATTGTTGTGGCCGAACCACTAGGCTTCATGAGTCGTAAGCGTAGAACCGTGCAATGGTTTTAAATCAATATAAAACTGCCCCCTTGTGCGAGCTCTAGCAGTTGGGCAGGTCCTGGCTAGCGGTGATTGCTAGTTTCATATATATATATATATATATATACACCTGTGATTTTCTGATGAGATGGTTACCATTCGGTCAAGGGATGAGAAGCCTGTAGTCTTCTAACTGTATCATGACTGTTCTGAGAGCACAGGATGGCCGCCGGTGACGTTGGCCATTGCAGACCTTTCGCTGTCGATGGCGGTAAGGTTTTAATGAAGAAGAAAAAAACGATTTTGAAGAAGATGACAAATTTACTTCTTGGTCCCTCAATGTTTTTGTTTTTCAATTAGGCTCCAAAACCTTTTAATTTGTTCAATTAGGTCTTGAAATTAATTTTGATTATATATATAAAAATCATTGTAATTCCATCAAAGACAATCAAAATCTATATAAAAAGTCTTACTAATTTTATAAAACTCTATGTAGAATTCTAGTGGAATCTGTGAAAATCTTAGTAAATCTTTCAATTTCATCAAACTCAATAATTCTTTTAAAATCTTACACAATCTTAATTCAATACACTCCTTAGCGATGGTTCAGAAATAAAATATTACGTCGCTATATTAGCAACAGATCTTATAATTGATTCAGAAATGTGATATTTAGTCACTTGTATTTTTAGTTTCTAATCTGTTTTAGCAACAATTTTTGACTTTAGCAACAAATATTTTCCGTTTCGAAAATGCAGTTTTTTTTTTGAGTGCAAGTGCTGTAAATAATTTAAGTTTTGATGACAATTCATACTGGGGTGTTCATTAAATCGATTTAAAACCAGGGTTTTAACAAATTGGTGATTTTGTTTGGTTTCTAAAATTTAAAACTGAGTTTTTTTGTTAGATTTATGATTTTGTGATCAAAATCGCTCAAATCGAACCAAACTAATATATATGAGAAAATTATTATTTAGTCCCTGAGTTTTGAAGAAATTAACTAATCCATCTCTGCATTCTGGTAATATTAATTAATAATCCCTGAGATTTACATCCATTATACTATTTAGTCCTTTCATCTATTTTTTTTTCAATTTTGCCGTTAAAATCATTGAAAAAGCAAGAGAGAGGTGGAAGAATTAATCTCAAATGGCAATAATATCCCTTATTGCGTATTGGGATGCTTAATATAACTCTGAAAAGGAACTAAAACGTCAAATGGGGTTAGGGTTTTGGGTTGGTGGAAAATTGCATTGTGTTCTTCATTTGGGTTTTCTAGCATCATAGACAATGTAATAGAAGGAAAAAGATATATAAATTCTTATTGCAAGTAAAAAAAAAAAAAAAAAGTTAGGATAATGATTTCTAAAACTGCAAAGAACAAGAATGGGTTGTACTATTATTGTATTGATAATGAATGTGGGTCTTTTCTTGGTTGGTGCAAGGCAAAATCATTTGACCCAAGTCAAAGAAGAGAAAATAGCAAGTGTGACTTGAGGCAAAGGAGCATACCCATTGAATATAATGAGTTGAATGAAGAGCTCTTGAAGTTGCAGAATGAGATGCATAGCAAATGAGGAAAGAGAAATGTTTAGCTTCTAAGATTGGGCACTTAAAGATACTAGTTTGCATTTGTTTAATGTGTATGGTGATGTTGAGAGCAGGTATGAGGATTATTTTGAACAACATGTCATATTTAGTGGGGATAAGCTTATATTGGTTAGTTTAAGTAGGTGATTATATTGTTTACAACAATTAATGGTTTTTCCTTTAACAGTATGTATTGTACTCCTTTTTTCATTAATGGAAAAT